GTCTTCAGAAAAGAATTAGTTCTCCAAATTGAGATGTTTTGCTTCCTTGAAACAAAAGATTTGCTAAGGGAATGAAAACACGTGGCAAGAGATGTTGGCCACACCTATAAGAGGGAGTGAACTGTTTCCCAGACTTGTAGATGCCTGCTTATTAATGCAGAATCACAGCAAGCAGGGCTCCAGACCCGTGGAGGTAGCTGTGACCTTGGGATTCTCCAAAATTAGTTTCAATACAACCAGCTTAGTCTGACTCTTACTTTAAAGAGGATGAGATGGAGGGTTTTGTGCCCTCCTTTCAGTTTGTGAGTGGGGAGTCCTGTAGTTGAACCCTAAAGTTTCGATTCATTGTTTTCTGTTCTTTCCTTAAATGGCTGATATTAAGCCTACTCAGCATTAGAACTGGAGAGGCCGGGAGATAAGTGCCTATGCCTGTCGGCTTGGGACAAATAAGATTTTGGGGACTAAAGAGAGTGGCTTCTCTAGATTCCTGACCATCTTTTTATGTCTTGGAGCAGTGGGCTGGTTTGGTCTGAATCATTTATGTCCTTGTCAGGGGACCCTCGAGGCTCCTCAGCAGAATGGTGTAGTGTTGCAGAGAAGAGGGGTCCTGTGGCCCAGACACTGGGCCTGGTAGCTTCTGTTAGATGCAAATAAAGCAAGGACTTTGAAACAATAAACTGTTCTACAGGTTTCCTGAGCTAGAGTGTGGACCAACTTCTGAGGTCCTAACAGGGAGCCGCACTGAGATCTCTCGCTTTGGTCCCCCTCTCTGTCCCTTTCTGCACAGTCCTTTGCAGAAAGGGTATGTAATTCCTGAGTTCCAGGCTTTGGAAGCTATTCAAGACTTGCAGAAATGGTCCGGGGATATAGTTCAGTGGCATAAGTGCTTGCCTGGTACACCTGAAGTCATGAGTTCAATTCCCGGTAGCAAAAAAAAAAAATACTTGCAGAAATGATAAGTTTGAACAATTGATTAATATTTGAAAACCCTCAAGATTTTAAATCTTCTACCTAAATGAAAAAAATATATGCTAGCGTCACGAAGAAGAATATGCGTGGAAGTAAACAGCACACAGAACCATGTAGAAACTAACATTTTAGCCAGTACCGAGGGCCCTAACCTTTGCCAGGTTACCACATGGACCTCGTTATTACGTGCCAGTATGTAGACTTGTGTCACCATAAGTCAAAGGCCTTCATTAGAACAGGGCATCCTGATTTTTACAATTAATCTTATTCGGCTACTAAATGTTTTCCACACTTAATGGAACAAAATTTGAAGAGAAGACCAGCTTAATTTTGTAGCATGAAATGCTTTTATTTCCAAACATTTTTTTCTCTCTACTTTTGAAGGTATTTTGGTTAATTCAAATTTCATATAAGGTAAGGTTAAGAATACCATAATTTATAGCCTACAGAGGTACGTGATTTGAAAGCTTCCTACCTAATGCAACTGGAATTTTTTTCCAATTACAAGAGCAGCAAGACCATCATTCTCCAGTTTCAAAAAAAGTGACAGCTGCTTGAAGAGGAGAGTAAACTAACAGAACATTTACTATTTGAAAAATATGTCCTAGGGGAAAAGATTTATCTGTTCAAAAAGATACTAAATTATTTAGTTTGGCAGCTTCAGGATGTGAATATTCTGAGCCCCACCATTGTCATTTATTTTGTCTCTCATGCAAAGGAAGAATGGAAAGACTTTATTCTGACATTTAGGCCTTTATTAGCTGCAGGGCCTGCATGCCTAATTTTTCAAAATGCTCAGCAAGTAGAGCTGCAGCCAGAAATTCCTCTGTTGAGATTCCTTCCGGTCCAGATGAAACTAATAGTTCCAGGCTGTGCTGCTGTCAGACATTACTAATCCAGGTACGGCTGCGTACTGTTTTTAATTTTCTTGCTCTGAACTGAAGGGCAGCGCTTGCCCTTTCCCATGAGAAGTCAGTGATAATATGCCCGAGACTCCGGCATCTGGGGACAGCGGCTTTTCTGCATGACACAGTGAAGCTTTGTTTTAGGGCCAGCAGAGATGGGAGCTTGATGATGGACATAATACAGCAAAGGACAGGCACACAATGGAGAATTAAGGAAAAACAAGATATTAGATATTTGTGTTTAAGTTTTGAAAGTCAGTGTTGCAGAAAGCAGCTGTTGCCTACTATAAAATATCCACTGATGCCACTTGCCATTTTGGGACAGTGTTAGATTAAGTGGGCAGTAGGTTTTTATGTCTGTTGAATTCTTATGGTTAATAGTGGAACTTTTAGAAACTTCCAAAATGTTATTAGTAGTTACATTCTGTTTACCAAAACAGATTCATTTCACATTTTAATTTGTCTCAATTGATACGTAAGCACAGCGTGCTTTAGAATAAAGACCGTGGAATTTGGATTTAGACGGTTCTGGCTTTCTGTGTCAGCTAGCTCTGTGAGCTTACATCAGTAGTAGATCTCTGGGTCTCAGCTTAAAAACTTAGTTTATAGATGGGAAGTACATCCAGAGTTGGTGTGCAGATGAATGATACACTATAGCATGATTGAAGTGCCTGGGACATACTTGGTACTCAGCAAGTGGTAGCCTATCTACTGTCAGATCTGTTTACCTTCTGCATATTTGCTGTTTACTTATACTGATCTTCTAGTTATTTTTTAGGCCTCCTTTTTTTTAGTTCAGTTCTGTTATGTTGAAAATTAAAATATGAGCATACTCAGCATAATGGGAAAATGAATAAAAAACAAAAGGTTTGCTGGTGCTCTTCCAGCAGGCTTCTGAGACCCATTAACTTAGTGTGACTTCGAGCCCGATGGCGGGCGCGTCAGTGTTCCGAGAGTTGCTGTCGCTTTGGGGAGACTGGGTCTGCCAGGCTCGCAGGCCGGTGTGTGCAGAGCTTAGCGGTGCTGCCTGGGGATGGCGGTAGTCACGAGGAAGCGTCCTGGGGTGGAGGGGTGTGTAGTGGGGGAGGCAGTTACGGGCTTGAACGCGCAGCAGAGCTGGTGAGTGTGCTGGCCGACCTCATCCTCCCTTCCTGCTCTTCTTTGAAACCCCATGAAGTGAGTGTCTTGTGGTAGAAGGTAAAAATGGGAGAAGAAAGTTGAACAGAAGTTTGGAAGCTGGGAGTTGATGTCTGCAGGGGGAAAGCAGAGAAGGTCACTGAAGAGGTGACTGCGCAGAAAGGTTGGGCAGGGACCACTTTTCCTCCACTGTGTGCTTTTAATCTCTAGCTGTGTTGCTTTTATAAAAGCAGAAACCTGAGGCACTTCATGGCACCGGCCATGTCCTTCTCTACCTGAGGCCACGCATGGCATCACACTTGGCTGGCCCCAGGCCGGGCCCTCTCCCTGGGACAGGGCTTCTCTTTTTTTTGAGACAGGGTTTTGGTATGTAGTTCAGGCTGGCCTTAAACTCACTTTGTAGCCCAAGCTGGCCTCGAACTTACAGCGATCCTCCTGTCTCAGCCTCCCGGGTGCTGGGATTGCAAGCATGCGCCCCCAGGGGCCTGGCTTCTCTGTTTTAGCTGCTTCTGCTGGTGACTCAGCTCTGCTGTGTGTTGATCTACGCTTCAGACATGTTCACACAGTGCGTGTGGTCACAGCTCGGCACAGGAGCGTGCTGCCTCTGTGTTAGCCTCTCGTTTGTGTTGTGGTGACTTCCCTTTGTCACCAGGAGAGTACTGGTAACACATTGCACTGTGACGAAGCTGTGAATGCTCCCGTGCTGTCCCAGGTGTGGACCCTAGATGCTGTCTGTGAAGGTAAAGATTACTGGTGGTGTTTACTGCTCTTGCAGTGGCTGTCTCTGAAGCTTGAGGACATTACCCTCGCTGTGCACTGCTGGGGAGACCAGTGTGTCAGAGCATGGCTTCTGCGTTAGACGAAGCCGCCTTCCTCGTCTCGGACGAGCTGCCACTCCACTGCACCCCTCAGCCAGTCTGTCTCGGGTCTGCGGCGTGTGAGTGCATTTGGCCCATGGTTGTGCAGCTTAACGGGTGCGGCAGGTGCAGTACTCAGAACCCAGGAAGCGCCCCGTAATACATTCACTGGTGTTGCTTCTACCTTGTTTTTGAGTGATGCTGCCGTTTCCTTTCAAAAATACAGTTGGGGTAATGTGAGAACTTTCTTGTTTATAAGATTCAACAAGTGATAGTAACACGTAGTATGTGTGTTCGGTTTTGCCCTTGACTGAGTGTGCGCCTGCCTCTCCGTTACCACCCTTTGTCTCCAGCTAACACCTACAGGCTCTCTCGTTCGTTATTTCTCATATCATCTTAGTGTTCTTTAAATCACTATAATAAACGATTAATGTTGCATTAAGTAACATTTGATGTTAATAAAGCATGTTACATTTCTTCCCCGGATCATCTAATAACTCACATATTTCTAAAGGAAAAATTCTTTTTCCCAGGAGATGTGCTTTAAAGAGTGTTTACTGTATAACTCCTAGTCCAGCGGAGCGATGTCTGTGTTCTTCACAGTACAAGCCCTCCTGCAGTGGTCGAGCTGTGTTTGGAGGGGGCGGTGGGCAGCTGGGCATTCCGTTTGCTGAGAGGTCAAGCAGCTCTTTGGGGCTGGCATCCATGAAGGAGTCTGTGTTCTTCTTACCTCTCTGTTTACTGCCCGGTAAGGAGTAAAATCGTAACTGTGGACAGAAGGACAGGATCCATGAAGGTTAACCATTGCATTGTTTTGTTTATATATTTTTTGTTTTGGTATAATTTCAAATTTAAGAGTTACCAGACCAGTACAAAGAAATTCTACAGACCATTCACCAAGGTTTACTTCTTGTTTACTGTGTTTAGATGTGTGTACTATATTTCTGAGCCATTTGAGAATAAATTTCAATATGGTACTTGCTTTTTCAGTCTGGGGCAGCTCTTTAGTCTCTTTTTGTCCTTGACTTTAGTATCGTTTGAAGAACTTGGGTCCCGTGTCTGGATGAGGATCGTCCATTTGGCTGGCGTAGCAGGGCCACTCCCTCATGGCGCTGTGTGGGCTCGGCAGGCAGAGCGGGGAAGGAAGGGCAGCCCGGGAGCCTGCGACGCGTCTGTACCGAGACCCGCAGTGTGCCCCCCGCTGCGTGCCCCCAGGTTTGCCCTCGTCTGTGCTGCCTGCTCCTTTGTGATTTGTGTGTGGTTTATAGGGAGTTGCTTTGGACCTGTAAATAATACCTTGTTCCTCGTCCACTTTTCTCTTCCGTATTTATTAGCTGGCATTTGACTGTATGGAAGCTCTTCCTTTTTTTCTTCCTTGCTTTTTAGTGTATTTATCTGAATGCGTAGATTCTTACTTAACAAGTTACAGTTCATTCTGTTTCTGTCGTCAGGTATTTTGATGCTTAAATTCAGCCTTGGCCCTGGGGCCCTTGTGGAATGCCCCCTTGTCCTTTTCCTGTGTCTTTCCATTTATCTGAGGACATCTTACCTTCATTGGTGTAACGGGGTGTTCTGAGTTCATTTGGCACCAGCCTGGGCTCAGCCCTTTTTCCAGGTGCTCTGGTGCCTTGGTATTTTACAGCCAGGTGCCTGGCGCTTGGCGTGTGCATTGCCTGTGATGTGTGGTTAGTGTGGTGCCTCTCAGGTCTTAGGAGGTCTTCAGGGACCGAGCTAGGAAATCTGTTTGAGGGTATGGGTGTGTACACCTGTAGCTCCATCTCTGCCTGGACTAAGACTTCCTAGTGATTATTCCAGTTTCAAGCAGCATCCTAGGACTCATTTAAGCTTTTCCCGTAGTATTTATAACTTCTCCTGCCAGCAGTGAGAAACGTGGTTCTGTAGTGTTGTTTTGTGTCTTTACTGTCTATCCCAAGCCGTTGCACTAAGTGGTAAATGCATGTTTAAGCATTTGGAAGGATGAGCGAGTGCGTCGGTGTGGGGTTGTGTGTTCTCACTGTGTGACCAGTGCTTGGCACAGAGCAGCGGCCGAGGACAACTCGGTTGACCAGATGGTTCTTTTTTTAGCAGTATTTTCATTTTACCTTTTTTGGGGGAGGTGCTGGAGACTGAGCTTCAGGCCTGGAGCATGCTCAGTAAGCACTCTACTATTCGAGCTACATACCTGGTCCCCAGTTTTTACTTTTGAACAATATGAAATACGACTTTATATGAAATACTCTTGCTTTTTACCAGTTAAAGCATGAGTCTGAAAAATTATTCAATTAATTTGAGCAGTGTAGCCTTTTACCAATAAGAAAAAAAATAATAAGAACAACAGTGCTCAATAAGAAAAATAGTCCCTTTGTTTTTGTTTCAAAAAAAAACCCCTCCGATTTGGGCAGCACTACTGAAAAGATTCCAGCGTTTCTAATTACAAAAACTGTAGCTTGCAGAGTTTGTCTGGCATATTTTTCACATTTGTCAGCTCTGGTGATGTGAAATATGTTCTTCATCTGAGTTCTTTTCCTAGGCCTCCTGCTGCCAGACAGAAAGAATTTCCACTTCCCTGCTGCTTGTTATTAAGCTGCTGTAAACAAGAATGCCTGAAGGTAGCTTATGAGGCAGTGATGAGAAATGTCTGATAACCTTAAGACTCATTCCCAAGTTATATTACATTGGCTCTGTGAGCAGTCTAGGGAGAAACAGCAGGGTTTCATCCCCCTATGACCTCAAAGGTTACAGATTTACAGTTTTGTATAGCTGTTAATGACGGTACCTCTTGAAGCAGATTTTTTTTTTTTCCTTAAATCTTCAGGAAATGTAATCTATTTTTCTTTCTGCTATAATTAAATCTAAGCACTTATTTCGTACATAAAAGTATAGTTTTCTGAGTTTGCTTTTTCTGTTTATAACCTAAAATATGTTAAACATAGTACATATAGCTTCTAGTATAGAATTCACAATATATAATTTCTGTACTACCAGAAAAGTAGGAAAAGTAGGAAAGGGAGTTAGTCTTATATTTAGTAAGATTTTTTTCCACAAAATTGGCTGGGAATTATTTTTTGTTTCAAGGACAGTTTTCTCCAGCAGAGAAATTTTCTCCAGCAGACAATTTTCTCCAGCAGTTTTTTTAAACTCTGTACAGAAACATTTTCAATTTTCATCTTCATACTTATAAGAGGGAGCAGGTCTTTTGAAAATGCGTAGAAAAATCAAAACATATAAAGCATGTCAGTTTAAAAGCCTTTCTCTGTCTAAAGAAAAAACTAAAATGGTAGTTTGTATAAATAGCCTTTTCCTAGATTAGATTTGAGAACAAAGTTGTATACATTAATGTCTTTTAAGTATAGACATTTAAAGTTAAAATCCATTGAATATTATTAAAGCTACTTTTGTGTGGGCCACGGCGGTGGTGCCATATCATGGATTCCCTATGCCTTATTCTGGTGTCTCCGTAAATAGAAAGTGTTCAGGCATCAGCCTCAGGTCACTGATTTTTCCACACACACTTACCTTGGCCTAGTTCCAGACACACCTTTGTACTTTGAACCAAAGCTGGGTGGGGTTTTGTTTTTCTGGAATCTTCAGCGAGGCCCAATGTTGGGCTTTATGAAGCAGCAGCAGCATCTTCCAGGAGTGCTGGCCTGGGACCTGGGACCTGGGACGCAGGACCCAGGACCCGGGACCCAAGACCCAGGACCCGGGACCCGGGATGCAGGACCCAGGACCTGGGACGCAGTACCCAGGACCCGGGACCCAAGACCCAGGACCCGGGACCCGGGATGCAGGACCCAGGACCCAGGACCCAGGACCCAGGACCGTGGCCAGGGGAGGACTGGTGAAAATCACCAAGGGACCCCCGGGGTCCATGAGACTCAGTGGGTTCCTGACTCCCTGCTGCCTCATCATCCCTTGGAAGAAGGATGGTCGGAGGCAGCTGAGTAGGAGGTCTTCTCCCGGCGCTTCCGGCCGGAGTCAGCACCGCTCCTGTCTGCGCGCCGCTGCCTGCTCCCAGGCTCGCCCTTTCCCAGGCATCCTTACCCAGGCATCCTTCCCCTCACTCCTTCCTTCCATCGGAGGATTGGGCCTCTGCAGTAGGATCAGTGCGTGGTATTCTCGGGACAAATAGATAGAAAATTAAATTTAAAATTCCATTCCTCTTTGTATACTTTTAAGGTGGAGAGTAGGCAAACTAAAATGCAGGTGTGTTTTAAAATCACTTATGAATACTTACGGATATCAGCTAGCTCACTTTCATTCTTTTCCTATAAATTTTGCAATTTGCCCAGCTTCTTTGCCAATTGAAGTAAAAACTAATTCTTTCCAGTCATTAAGTGGTGCCACCTGTAGTCCCAGCACTTGGGAGGCTGAGGAGGACTTGTTCAAGTTTGAGGCCAGTCTGGGCTACACAGTGAGTCCAAGGCCATCCTGACTGCATAGCGAGATCTTGTCTTTAAAAAAAAGTAGTGAAATAGTTTGAGAAATACTATATGAATCTTTTAAAAGATACATAATAAAATTTGACTAAATTCAGTTGGGTTGTAGGGAGACGGCCAGTTTAAACTAGAAAGCAATCTGAGGTGCAGAACCGTAGAGTTACACTGTCTGTGGGGCGCAGATCACGGGCCCCTTTCTGCAGTTGTATCCCTGGAACAAAGCAGTGTCTGCTGCTTATTGCACATGCTCAGGAAAGATCTGACTTAAAAGCTTTTGGTTTACTTCTTCATTTTACAGAAGAAGCTTAATCTAGATCTGAGCTAAAGCAGATTAGAGCACAAAGTACTGTATAGCCACTCATCACTTACTATATATATATATATATATATATATATATTTTTTTTTTTTTGGTACTGGGAATCGAACTCAAGACCTTACGCTTGCCAGGCAGACGCTTGTACCACTGAGCTATATCCCTGGCCTACTTACTATATTTTTAAAAGAAAATTAATTATTTTCAAGATATGTAATAATATAGGGGATTTTTAGCTACACTACTGACCTTTGTAGTTGTGATTAACATAGTCTTTGTTGGTAAATAGTCTATTATCCTGCTCTTGTGGACGTACTTAAACAGCTTGCCTTCTCCAGTTGTTCACATATTTTTAATTTTATGTTGCTCTTACAGTTAATTTGTTAGTAAGCTCTTTGTACAAGCTAAACAAAGGCTCTTTTAGTCATCTCCCCCTCTGCGGGCCATCATAAAAGAGCATTTGTTCAACCAGGAGGAAGGAGTCCTTGACTTCAGTGTGAAGGGCCTTGAGAAATTATCTGGCTCAAGCAGTTCATGAAGCAGAAAGGAAGTGGACTCCAGGCAGCTCGGTGACCTGTCAGTGCCGCAGCACTGTGTGAGTGGCAAAGCCAGAGTTGGAGCTGGGCCTTTCAGTCTTCTTTCCAGGGGACTTTTGCTGTGATAGTTGACTTCTCCTGCCGTGTAACATGAAGTGTTAGTATCTTGGTACAGGTTTATCTAGATGGTGGTGTATGTTAAAATATATAGGTCATTTAGCTTTTCACGTGAAATGCTTAAAATAAGCTTTTCTCTCTTCGCTCCTGCTAGGCCCGTGTGCCTGTTGCAGAGGGAGTTGTGAAAAGGAGATCTAAAACGAAAGGAGAATTTCAAGGTGTTACCACTGAAGCAGACATTCGGAAGGGCCTGGCCCCTCTCAGAAGCAAGGAGAATCATTAGGAGGAAAGTAAGTGATGGTATATTCCTATGTGTGATGGCTTTGCAGATAGTAAGAACTCTGAGTTAGCTCTGTGTCTGCTTATGAGAAAGCATAACCATGACAAAAAAGCCAAGTTGCAGAGTAGTAAGTTGTTATCCTGTGAAAAATAAAACCCAGCACATATGTATGCATATGTATGTGTTTATATATGCATACAGATGTATATGTTGTAGATGTTATGTTTGTATATATTTGAATGAGCCTGGGCGAATCAGGCTAGTTACATAAGTTATTCATGAAGTGGGATTTGGGAGAGAATTTTTACTCCATTTTTTTCCATTAGTCACTGTACTATTTAATATGTAACAGTAAGCATCTATTACTTTTGTTATTAAAGAAACATAATAAAAAATTAAAATCCATTTGTAGTTTTGTTATGCTTTTAAAAAATGAGCTTAAAACAATAATATCACCTAACAGAATTTCCCAAAGGAGGAAATGGACAAATAATCTGGCTACAGATTGACTCCATTCTGCTAATTTCCAGGACACTGGAACTCTTGGCAATAACATGTGTACAGGAAGGAGCAGTTTAAAGATAAATTTATGTGTGTTTTCCCTAGCATGAAAGTTTTCATTTACCCGTAGTTTTGATTCACATAATGTTAACATTTTACTTCTGAAATCTCCTGTATTTAACAGTGAGCTGATTAAAATTAGGATATTCACCAGTGAGAGAGGAACATTGTTTCCATAGAAAAAGCAAGGCTAATAATTCTCATAATCCCTTTGATTTAGTAAGACTTGAACCGTTCTTTTGCCTAGAGATGAACTGATTAGTGTAGTTATTGTTTTTATTTAAAAGGACAGAAATAAACTCTGTGAATTTTATGAGTTTTTATAAATTCTAACACTCTCAAGCCTTCAGTAACTTCAAGTAAGTGTAAATGCTCTTGTAATTTTCCAACATTAGGGATGCCTCTGGTCCTAAGAGGTGATTTGTTTTAAATCATAGGTACTAATAAAAGAAAAATATTTTTGGATGTAAATATTTGCTGGGAATGTGTTGGTCATAGGTTTTACATAGCACTAACAAAGGTGTTCTTCATATAAAACTTAAAATCTAGGCAAGCTAAACTCTGAGAAAAACACAGTAACAGTTTGAACGTACGTATTTGGAATGGAGAAAACAAGTACTAACCCCTCTTCTGGTTAAGATATGTGTGTTATAACCAGCCCCTCCTGTTATAAGCTCTCACTGTTTCATTATTAAAGTGGTACCAAATTCATATTTCTGTTCTGTAACCAAGACTGCGGTTGACAAGGGAGTTCTTTACTGTGAGGCGCTGGGAAAGCTGCAGAAGCCCTGGCGCGTCTAGTGTGAAAGCAACCGCAGTGTGGAGATGAGCTGATCGGGCTGCGGAGCGGCAGGGTGGCGCTTGGGGTGGCTCAGTGCTGGAGCACCCGGCTGTGAGTCGCAGCCCCATTACTATAAACAATTCCCAAATGAATAAGATAAATTGTAGGTGATGAAACTGAGGAAACCAGAGGGGTTTTATTCTCTTGTCAGTCTTTTCTAGCTTTTTATAATGAAACTGTTGAAGTTCACCTTTCATGAATAATGGTGGCCGTCTCTTTAACTTACTACTATTATAACTCTTAAGAGAAAATTAGGTAGTTTTCAGGACAAAGGAAACTGTGACACTTTATTGCTTCTGTGGAGTTGGTAAGGAGAGGAGAGGAAATGGGAGAGAATTGTGGTGAGCAGCTGTCATTTTCTATGCACGGAGTCTTCTTCCAGCAGGGCGTCTTCCTCATGAGCCACTCGAGGGTGATTCCCACAGATGGGTGCAGAGGTGGGCATCACAGGTGCCCGCAGTGGGGCTGCCTGCATGTTCATCTGAAAAGGCCAGCGAAAGCATCCGAGTGTCCTCATGCTGTGGCATCCAGTGTGGCAGTTAATAAGAATAGAATAGAGCTGTGTACCAGCCAACTCCTCAAAACAGCACTGAGTGAAAAAGAAACAGCAGAGTGATAGCTAGGACCGGATGGTGTTCACATAAAGCTGGAAGACATTGCAGAGCAGTACACGCGCTGTTCATGGATACCTGTGTAGCAGTTGTTGTCAGACACGCACGGGCAGAACCCGCAAGTCCGAGACCGTGGTTACGTCTTTGGAAGGATGAAGAATAGGATCCCAGAACGTTCCACAGGGGACTGACTGCATTCTGTGTGCAGTACTTTATTAAAAAGCAAAGCAGAACGTTAAGATTTTGTCACCCTGGGGCAGGCACGTGGGTATTCATACTAGTCTGTTTATTTCCTTTACATTTGAAATGCTGCACACAGGACAGCTACATGAACACCCTTTTACAGAAGGGCAGAGAGAGATGGGGGGAGTGCGAGGCCCTGCAGTCAGAGGGCCGTGAGCGTGTGCTGCGCCGGCTTCTTCCTGGCTCTGGCTGTGGACTGAGTCAGTTTCCCTCCCTGGGCTTGATACCTGTCTCCGAGGTGGGGTGACAGTGTCTCTCCCTAGTGTGTTGTCAGCAACAAATAGCTGACTTAGAGTAGTTTCTGTGCTGTTCGGGTGCGCAAGCTCTGAGCCCTGGAGTGAGGTGTGCGCGAGCGGACATGTGCTTGCCCGCATGCCGACTTAAGGTCTGACGGCGGGGCATAAAAAAGACGAAATGCAGCGCAGACCCCGAAGGGGAAGAGGGTGTTGGGGCTTTGGGGTCACGGGTGATCACAGGTGGTGTTTCATGGTTTGTGCTTTCCTGTGTGCTCCAGCTTCCCTTCAGTACGCGTGTGCTGCTTTTGTAAGCAGAAAGCAGTGAGGGACCATTGTTTCGTCAGAGTCACTTCTTCAGTGACCTTTCAGTTCTGGCGAAGGCAGTCTGCTCAGGCCTTTGTGGCAGGTTCTTTTTCCGTGGGAAGACTGTTTATCTTAGGGGTTTTGAGGAGGGCAGCATTTCCCTTTTTCACTGAACTACTTGAGAATGAAGGTGGTTTGGCAGAAATTGTGGCTTTCTTGTGTAGAGAACGAAGACCGCGTGTAACTTGGTGGGCAGTCACCCCGAATACAGCGTCTGGAAGAGTTACAGAGAACATGTTTGGTATGTAGGAAAATCAGTTCTTCTTTGAGAACTTTGTTGAGATCAGTTTAACTTGTTCTGTGAAACCCTTTCAGGCCTAGAAACCAGGCTGACTTTGCCAGTGCCCTCTGGACGGTTGAAGTGGCACGTAGTGCCTGCCACGTGGATTTTGCAGGCAAATGTTGGTTTCTGTTCCCTCCCGTGCGTGGCTTCCTCACAGACTCACTGGCAAAGCCCTGTTCGCAGTAGGTGGAGTTTGCAGTTGTAAAGTCAGCAACAGATCATTTTCAGTTGTTATGGTTTCTTGAAGGTTTTTGTAGCCATTTATACCAGTAGCTTTGGTTTAAAGGAAGATCCTTGCCTTACGAGTCTTTAATCGGACAATTTGAAAGAGACATAAGATATACTTCTATTTCAAAAAGAACAGAGTGGAACAAATTTTTGAGTAAATATCTGCATACGTATTTATGTATGTGTTTGTGTATCCAGTATGAACATGTAACATTAGACTGTTTTCTTGAGTCAAAACATTTAAAACAGTCGTGAAGTAAGGAGCCCCAAAAGGGCAATTTTGAGGTGGGAGAGGTATGGATATTAACAATTAACATTTGTAAGGGTAGTGGATATTTTCTATTGAATTGAAAATTTGACAGATCTTTAAAGAAATAGTCCATAAACATGTAAAGAGTTACTTGATTTCTATCTCAATTTTTTTTATTGTCTATTTACCATGTGCTTTTAAGTTGTGAGATAATCAAGAATAAAATAATTACAGATTAAAAAGAATCGTATTATTTTTCAATAATATGGTCTCATCTTATAAGGTTCAGGTTCTCAGTTAAATTCCTCCTGGGAGGCATAGGAGTTTCTGCTTCGCTCCTGGGGTGTCCTGGCCATCTGCCCTACAAAGAAGTGGACCCTTGTTTGTATTAACTGTAGTGACAGGTCCTGAGAATGAGGTGCTCTCGGATGAATAAGAAAAGGTCAAAGAGATAAGAAAAACAAGAGAGGCCAAATTCTGGGATCAGGGGCCTTACAGCCTCTGGGACTGAAGCCGCGATCACTCATCTCAGTCGCCTTTTATTAGGACCAAGAATGTAACTAAGGCCAACAGGAGAAATTCATTATCCCTTTCCATTTCTGCCTCTCAGCTGATGGTAACCGTCCTCGGGCGAGGCTCCCACACCCAGCACCACGTGCACTCAGTATGGCTGGGGATCAAAAGCCGATCATCAGTAATCAGTCCATTAGCAATCGCCGTCCTTTCCCCACATGTCCCCCTTTTTGTTTTAATGCAGTCCTTTGAAGCATCAACGAAAAGTGTGATCACAAGATATACATTGAAGGCTAATCATTGTTATGGACTCTGAACTATGTTCTTATTTTTACAAACACCCATTGTCATTTCTTGCGATATTATCATTGTACTTTGCCTCATCCCCTTAGTCTAGTGAAGTTCATCCAGGAAACGCTGAGAAAAGGAAGACAATTGGTAACTTCCTCGTTGATGAGTAAAGATTTGAACAAAAGTCTTATCATAAGCAACTCTTGCTTTACAGTTTGAAGACCTATATGTATGAATCATGAATACATTTCAATACACTATGAAATTAACAATAATAAATTGCCATACACATATGAAAACTTTTGTTTCTTTAGTTTTAGACCATCTAATAGTTTAGGAGAAAGCATGCTTTTATATTTGCACTGCAATTGTATCTTTTTTTTTTATTTTAAAGAGTAAAAGAAGGATAACATAATAATAGGGGGGCTTACCAAATTACAGATGAAATAGTAGGAAATTATCAATGGTTAGATGGTCTAAACAAAGATATTTAAATAAAGATATTTAACTATAATCCCTGAGCAGAAAAATTGTTGGGTAGGACTCCAATCGATGAATAAAGGAGTGGCCAACCTTTGTTCATTAATAAG